ACTGACAGCATGTCCGCATTCCCACTTCAGCCCAACACTTTTGAGACTGGTATATTGAGGACAGTTCGAACCTGTGAAACATATTAATATAAGTTTCTGCACAAAGCCATTTTATATCATGAGTAGTCTTACAAAATCCATAGTCGCGGACCTCAGAAGGCAGTCGCCTTGAATGGAGGTCCCATATTAGGATGTGCAATCGCGGTTGTACCATCATCCATAGTAAAGCCTGAAGAACCTTGTTAGATCCTCCCTCCGCAAGCTTGATCATACATGAGCAGGTCCTGGATCCAACGCTCCTAGCTGCAATCCTCTGAAGCTCTTCCACATCAAACCGCTTGTATCGGTTCCTAAGTTGCATCGACTCATTCCATAGCCAGCGCCCGCCCCGTGTAGCGGAAGAAATTTTCGTGGTCAGCATCCGACGCGCCAGACATAAGTCGACAGGAGGGGGGAGTTGAATAACAAAAAGTGTTGCAATAGCGGTGAGTTGTCTTTGACCCTTATTACGCAGCGGCTCCAGGCAAATGTTAGGGTACGAAACATGGCTTTTCAGGATGCCTTCTCCAGCGCTTTGTACAGTACATACGTGCTTTGTCCGTGAGGTGATTGCCAAAAAAGCTCTTTTGTGTTAGGTTACTCGGAGGTTATGAGGCCTGTATGAGTGCAAAAATTCTACTATAACAGTGTTAACATGGTATCACAGATGCAAATCAGTTAGTCGAGATGATGAAGGGGTGTTGTTGATTGCGGCAGCCACTGCACCGCTGGAGATGAACCCTATATAGTTAACTTGCTCTTGATCACAACAATAACAAGATTAACCATCCCACAGATTATGATATAAATAGCAGATTTTTAAGTAAAACAAGACATTTTAATTAAGATACACTGCAATTAATATAATATTGAACTCATTCAATATTGTTTCTTCAAAGAGAAAGCTCTTTGTAGAACTACAAAGTAGCACATTTATACCAGAAGTGATAATAGTATGAGATTGTTGCATATTGGTATATCACTTGCTTAGAAGGCGGCGTAACGAGTATATCAATAATCTTTATATTATAGATAGATGTGATAATAATTATTAGTTAACTAATTTTTAAGAATCATAATATTCAAAATATTACTATTATGATGTGATTATCACTAACTACAGTGTGATGCACTCACTGATGAGTCGAGTGTATGAGTGTACTTGGCACAGTTAGTATATGATTTTTTTTATCTCAACGGTTTTGCTCTATGATAGTTCTGAGCAGCATGATGCCTCAATTTTTAGAGTGACAATTGAGATGTGGAATAATCCCATTAGAAGAAACAAAAAGAAGAGGGAAGAGGGAAGAGGGAAAATCTTGTGCATGTATACATACAGCACAATGGTATGCAGCTAAGAAATAAATACATATGTTGTTTTTGGGATGGCTATTCATGATGACTGTCATTCATTTGGGTACTAGCATATGTCTGTAGTGCTTTCAGGAAGAAGTTTCTTTCCGTAAGTTAACACTTCGATTTCAATGTTCAATGTTCAATATTTATCCATCCCGGCCTTCAAAAAAAAAAAAAAAAAAACTCCCATGATATATGCTAGATCATGCCATCAAACCAGATCAACTGAAAATAGACCATGAACAAGTGTGTTATAGATCAAAAGACAAAAGAAAACACGCATTCGCCTGCGCTGCGCTTAATCTAAATGGTAATCCGAGAAGCCCCCAAAAAAAGGAAAGAAAGAAAGAAAAGAAAAGAAACAAAGTTTGACTGTCCAGAAAACATATGCAAATCACGAAGGCCCCCGGTCACCACTCCCACCCATAATTTGCTCCTTCGACCTAAGAACCGCTTCCTTCGTTAACCCTCTATCTCCACCCCCACCCTTCCTCCAGAGCCAAACCGCCTCAGTCGCCCACGCCCTTGCGCTGGCATGTTTTCCAATTCTAGCCGCATTACTCGCAGCAGTAGCAGCTGTAGATTCGTTTTTCGATCCACTACTTCCCCCGCCAGCCTCGGCCAACATGCCCACAACCACACCCTCGCGCTCCACAACGGCCCACAGACCCTCGAAGAGCGCACTCCCACGCTCCCCAAACTCCCCCACCCCTAATCGATAGAGAAACCGGCCGAGAACCTGCCAAGCGAGACAGCGTTGGGCGGGGAGGGTGGAGCGGGCTAGGGTCGCGAGTTCGGGAATTGTGTAGCCGGCGGCTTCGGGGTCAGCGGCGTGGTGGTGCAGGCCGTGGGTTGTAGGGATGGAGAGAGAGGTGCGCGGCGCGAGGAGGGTACCAGTGAGCGAGAAGCGGAGGGCAGCAGGGGAGATGGAGGTGGCGGTGCTGGCTGGGTGGTAGGGTGATATGGAGGGGTTGGATGGGGCGTGGGAGGAGGAGGGGCTTGGTGGTGGTGATGGCTGAAGCCAGGAGAGGGAGGAGGGATCGTGTGGAATGTCGGGGAAGTAGTGGGTTTGTAGGTCTGCAAGGAAAGAGGGAGAAGAAGGGTTCAGATTTGGCATGGGAGACTGACGTGGAGGGGGTTTGGGGAAATGGATGGGGCCAGTTGGGAAGTCAGACGCGGGAAATAGTTCAGATGGTGGTTGGTGGGGTGGTAGGTTGTCTATGATTGATGATGGTTGGGGGGGGTGTTCTAGTGCTTCTGAATCTGCGGCAGTGGCCAAGGACTGTTCGCCTGTTTCCGATGAGGGAATATCGAATGACACTGATTTGGAAGATTTCTGCGATTGTGTAGACGCCTTTTCCTGTTCTTCTGTTAACACCTTTGGCAAATTATCCTCCTTGATTTCCTTGTTCACCAAGGTGTTTCATTTCCTCATGTTGGTGGTCCTCTTCGATCTATGGTCTTCGTAGAAGTCGTTCGATGAGCGACTGCGGGA